TGAGCAAACAGGTTTATAGAAATTAGTTAAATAGTCTACCTACAGATTACCTACCAGGTAAGTGATGAGGCCATGATTCAAGCCCAGGTGGCAAAGTCTGAGCAGTTCCCAATATCCCATACACCGGCTCTATTTTTCTGCTCTGTTCTCAGCATCCCGGAATATATTTAATATTCTGAAGTAAAACTTAATCTGAGCTTAGAAGTTTCAGCATGTTGAAACTCACCAGTCATTGACCGATTTGTTTCTTCATTCATTGATTTAAGAAATATGTATTGAGTGCTTACTGTGTGGTAGACACTGTGTTAAGATAATGGGAATATGGGAATGAACAAGGCAGGCAAGATTCTTGTCTAATGTTTTTGTGAGGGAGACATGATAAACAAGGAAATTACTAAACAAGGTAATTTAGATAGAGCTAATAGTATGAATGAAATTTAAATGGTGTTGTGATAATATATGGAGTGTGCAAGGGAGGAGACTGTTGAGCTGAGAGTTGAATGATGGGGAGCCGGCAATGGACAGGTCGGGGCTAAGAGTCTTCCAAGCAGAGAAAAAGGCAAATACAAAGGTCTTTTGACAGGAATAAACTCTATTTACAAGCCTACAGGGGAGAATCACTAGAGGCTTTTTATCCTTTAAGAATATCAGTTAAGGATTGTAAGAAAGTGATATGTGATTATAGCTAAATTTTAATTTCTTGTACTAGTAGTTTTTTTAATATAATTTTATTTTGTTGTTATTGAGAATATACACAGCAAAACATAGACACTAATTCAACAGTTTCTACACGTACCATTTAGTAACACTGATTACATTCTTCGAGTTGTATAGCCATTCTCACTGTCGTTTTCTGAATTGTTCCTCCCCTATTAACATAAAATTCACTGCCCCCTAAGGTTCCTATCTAATCTTTCGAGTTGCTGTTGTCAATTTGATCCCATATAGATAGTTCTTGAAAGAGCATAATTCTCAAGGCAGATATTTTTTTACTAGTTATGCTAAACTGTTGTTTGCTTTTTAATAAGACTTCAGGAGATATTTTTGGTTTAAGATTTAAAGATCATCTCAGGGCAACAGTTTCAGGGGTTCATCCAACCTTCATATCTCCAGGAAGTCTGGAGTCCATGAGAATTTGAAATTCTATTCTGCATTTTGATCAGGTTATTTCTATGAAATATTTGATCAAAATGTTCAGTAATGGTAGCCAGGCACCATATAGTTCTGGTCTCATGGCAAAAGAGGCAATTGTTCATGGAGACAATTAGCCACACATTCCATATCCACGTCCTATTGCTGACTCTCCTTCTTCCTCTGTTGGTCCAGGTGAATAGAGTCCAATTGTTGTGCATTGGATGGCCTCTTGCAAGCTTTTAAGACCTCAGGCAGTATGTAATGAACTAGGAGGTAGAGCAGAAGCACTGAACATCTTATCAGACTAATTAACTGGGATGCCCAATGAAAACATGACCCTAAACCTCCAAACGAAGAAACCAAATCCCATGAGGTTTTTGATTGTACGTAATCAGCCTCAGCAGCTACTCTTTCTTTTTTGTTGTTGTAGTAAATATATCTATAGTACAACTTTTGCCAATTGAACTTTTTATAGGTGTACAATTTATTGACAGCAGTTAAAACAATCGGCTGTGCAACCCCACCCTTAATCGGTGCAATATTTCCATCACCGTTAACCCCTCTTTTCCCCCTCCCTCTCGTCCCTGGTAACTACTAATAAACTTTGTTAACTATACATTTGTCTTTTTATATGAGCAAAGTCATACAATATTTGTCCTTTGTGAGTGACTTACTTCCCTCAGCATGTCTTCCAGCTCCATCTCTATCATAGCATGTATCAAGACTTCATTTCTCCTACTGGCTGGGTAGTATTCCATTGTATGTAGTACCACATTTTGTTTATCTATTCATCTGTTGTTGGGCATTTAGATTGTTTCCACTTTTTGGATACTGTGAATAGTGCCACAGTGAACATTGGCATACAAGTCTCTGCTTTCAAGTCTTTTGGGTATTTACCTAGGAATGGAATTGCTGGGTTATATGTTAGTTTATTTTTAGTTTTTTGAGGCACTGCCACACTGTTTTCCACAAAGGCCATACCATTTTGCATTCCCACTTAGCAATGCTTAAAGGGTTCCAGTCTCCCCACATCCTCGCCAACATTTGTTGTTTTCTGATTTTTTTTTTTTTTTTAATCTTAGCTATCCTAGGGGGAGTGAAATCTTACTGGTAGTTTTTGGGGATATTTGGTGCTTGTGGTTAATAGATCCATTGATTGTGACTGATAGATTTTATACCGAAGTAGAAAGTAAGTTGATTCAGCAAAAATAAAAGTATAATTTTAAAATTTCAAAATTATGCTAGAAATGTTTTCTTTGCTATTATTCCTTGTATATCTGTAGCCTGAAGAGATAGGTAAATAAGTTATGTTGTTGTGTGCCATCGAGTCGATTCTGACTCATAGCAACCCTGTAGGACAGAGCAGAACTGCCCCATAGGGTTCCCTAGGCTTTAATCTTCATGGGAGCAGATTGCCAGATCTTTTCTCCTTTGTAGCAGCTGGTGGGTTTGAACTGCAAACCTTTCAGTTAGAAGACAAGTGCTTAACCATTGCACCACCTACCCACTGCCCATTGCTGTCGAGTTGATCCCGACTCGTAGAGATCCTGTAGGACAGAATAGAACTGCCCCATAGGGTTTCCAAGGCTGTACTCTTTATGGAAGCAGATTGCCATATCATTCTCCTGTGGAATGGCTGATGAGTTTGAACTGCCGACCTCCTGGTTAGCAGGCAATTGCTTTAACCACTGTGCCACTAGGGCTTCTTAAATAAGTTATATGAATGTGAAAATGATTTCATGGTGATGTTTTTATTTACTGTGCCATGTATGGAGCCCTGGTGGTGCAGTGGTTTATAGCTTGGCTGCCAACTAAAAGGTCAGCAGTTCGAATACACCAGCCATTTCTTGGAAACCCTATGAGGCAGTTCTACTCTGTCCTATTTTGTCACTACAAGGTCGCTGTGAGTCAGAACTGACTGAATTGACTGGATGGCAACAGGTTTCTTTGGTTTTGTGCCATTCATATGGTGATTAATCAAGTATAGTTCGTGAACATATACTATTTAGCCTAACAAAGTATGAAAACGACTTTCAAGTCACTGGCCAATACACAAAATACTCATTGCCATCGAGTCGATTCTGACTCCTAGTGACCCTGCAGAACAGAGTAGAATTGCCCCATAGAGTTTCTAAGGAGCGGCTGGTGGATTTGAACCGCTGACCTTTTGGTTAGCAGTAGAACTCTTAACCACGCGCCACCAGGGCTCTGTACATAAAATACAGGAACTAAAAGTACAAAATTGTATTTCTTGTTCTGTAATTGTTAGGGAGAAATTCAATAATAGCATACTTTTATTGAGGGCTCACTAAATCCAGGCACTGTGTTAGGCATTTGGCATACATGGAGTTTACATCTACGAGAGATTCTACCACAGTGTTTTTAGTGCTGTAATAGGGGTACTGCTATAGCGCTATATGGTAACAGAGTTCCCTACAAGTTGTAAGAATTTATCAGGCTTTAAACATTTACTATTTTATGGAGTTGTTTTTTAATTCAGAAAATTAAGTATGATTGACAATTTCTATATTGAGAAATCATTCCCAATAAAAAGCCAAATAGTATGAAACCCTAGGCAATCCGTTTCCCATTATCAGTACATTGGTTTTTTTTCTTTTTAAAAATTTGCTATTCTTTAATGATATGACTTCTACCAGATGGGAAAAAAAAAAGCCTTCCTTACATGCTAGCTTAGATATTTAACAGAAAGTGAGTGTAATTTTTATGAACTTGGAAAGTGGGACTCAAGTCGGAGTCAGGGGAATACATTTATAATCCAGCTAAGGGGGCAGTTATGGTGATATATGTCTAGAATATGAAACTATTAGTTATTAGTACAGTGAATGTGTTGTGATGATATTTTCCTCTCAGCCTTTTCCCCAAACTACTTATATAGTTATATCAAGGTGATGACGCCAAGCAGCTGTGATGAGACAATGAGTTATAGAAATAACCCCATGTATATTGGAAATTAAGCAAAAACTAGTTGCTATCAGATAAAAAAGGAGCCCTGGTGGCATTGTGTTTAAGCGCTCGGCTGCTAACCGAAAGGTTGGTGGTTCGAACCACCATCCCCTCCATGGGAGAAATATGTGGCAGTCTGCTTCCATAAAGATTAGAGTCCTGGAAACCCTATGGGGCAATTCTACTCTGTCCTGTAGGGTCACCATGAGTCGGATTCAACTTGATGGCAATGAGTGGGTTATCAGATAAATGTATTTATTGACTTTTTAATATTAATCTATAACATGGGAGTAACATAGTTAGGATGGGATAGTTGGGAATTGGTGACTGCCTTAGACTGATTTGATTAACATACTAATTGGAGACTGTATTGCTTTGTATTTTAATAACCCTTTTCACTTGTTTTTCTGCGATAGGGTGATACTCTTGATATATTTCAGTAGATTTGGGTTTTGCATAATGTTTTATATTCATTTTCTTTATACTTTTCAATTCTATCTACTCTCTTTTGTAGAATATAAATATCTTAACTAGGAACATCAATTAGATGATTCCTAAATGTTCATCCTGTCGGTTAAGGAGAACCAGCTAATGTTAATCCTAATGCCTAGATCATAAATTTAAGTGCTCCTGTCAATGACACTTTACATAATTCAAATCCATATTCTATAAGTCTCAGGTCATAAGCACCAGCAGTGTATTTTTGTTTTAAATGAGGGGAAGGAGAGTGTTGCGATATATACAATTTAACATAGTGAATTCTCTGATCAAGAATGTTTCAGTGCCTAGCACTTTGTACACTTTCTCATATAGTTAATATTTATATATTCGTTGCATTATTTTATTTTTAAAGCTTTTTACAAAACTGTTGTCTTTAATGGTATCATTCTTTTATTTTATAGGGAGGGCTGAAAAACAGCAAACATGAATGTACCCTGTCTTCACAAGAATATGTTCATGAATTACGATCCGGTATTTCAGATGAGAAACTTCTTAATTGCCTAGAATCCTTGAGGGTTTCTTTAACCAGCAATCCTGTCAGGTAGGTAGTTCTTATCATTTTGGTATAATTAATGCAATTTGTACTCTGTAATTATTTGGAAATATAATCAGTTACATTATTTTAACTTCAAAATTTTGAGACTAAAAGCCTGATATTACTTAATAAAACAGCAATGTCTGATGTGTGAGGATTGTAAACATTTAAAAAATACAGTCAAATCTCATCTCTAATAATGTGCATCTTTAAGAATATAAACATTATTTGGATATTTAATTCCTCCTCAAATATATAAAGTATAGCATCAGAAGTTAAATATCTGTGCATTTACATGGAAAACTATTTCTGTACTCAGTTGACTGTTATATATTTGTTTGTAAAACAAGTTAAGTATATTGGATTTATGATTTTATTCCTTTTAAACCTGAGAAGTACATATAATTCTGTATTTTTCTATCAGTTTTAGATATACTGTTCACAAATTTCTGTAATTTGGGGATAGCAAAAATTAAATTTTTTAACCAATAAAAAGAAATGAGAAAAATATAACTAAACTTTTAATATCTCTACACATGTAGACTATTGACTAACTACAAATGATTTTTAAGGAAGAGGTCACTTGCCAATGGTGGATTCCAATAACTCTTGTTATTTATTAAGTATTAAAAAAACTTTTCAGTTAATAACACACAAAATAAAACGATGTTTTATAAGGAAAAACAATTTTTCAGTTTAATAGAATATTCTGGGGTCTAGTTACAAAATTGTTAGAATCATAACTTTAGAAATTAGTAGATGAAATGTATATAGAAACCATATTGTATTCATTTTTCCAAATTTATAATAAAAGGGCCATGTGTTGTACTTTTCTGAACTGTCTACAGAGCCCTGAAAATTAATTTAGAAATCAGCCATTCAGTTTAGATTTATATGTAAATTGAAAAATATCATACTACAGTAAAACCTGTGAAAGGTAAATCCTGCGAAAGCTGGAATGTGTGTAAAGTGGAAACCGGTCAGAGAAGCAAAACACAAATATTTTCCACTAAAAGGGAGCGATATAAAAGTGGTAAGACTGCACCCTATCAAACGCAGAAAATTTGCGAGTCTGGGGTAAAGAAGGCAGTCCCGTCCAGTTTCGGCTATCACAGGTTTCACTGTATTTGTTTATATTAACTGTACACTTGGCAAAATAAATGTAAGATTATTATTCTGCAATAAAAAAATTTAAAAAGCAGTGGTGAGATGTGACTTACCTTTGAGTATATAGTCATTCAAAGGTGGTTTATCTGTCCATTTTTTCCAGAATGTTTCTGATTTTAATGATTTGAACAAGGAATGTGAGTTCTTTGAGAACAGTAACCGTGGTGGTGGTTTTTTTCTTCCTGCATATAACCCACAGCACTGTAGCTAGTGCCTAGCCCCAAAAATTTCTGTTGAATGACTGGTTGACTGAATGAGTGAATAAATGGATCTTTAAAAAGTGACTGTAGAAAAAGTTGTGGCATTCAAGAATGAAGTGAAAAAAACAGTAAAAATGCACTTTTTTAAACGATGACGGGAAAGGGTTGGAGTTGCACGTGGAGTTTTTCAAAAGTAGCTCAGCAGCTGCACACTCTAAGGAATTATGGGAGTGGGTGAGAAACTAGCAGGTCTCGATTGGCTGACGGCAGCTGCGGTCTTGCAGCTGATTGGCTCCAGGGAAAGTGGGAGGTGATTGTGTCGCGAAGATCCAGGCCATCTGTTCTAGTCCTCAGTAGAGCTTGGAGCTGGCTTGGGGAACTCACTGTTGAGATCAGAACCACGCCTCCTCACCTGCCAGAGCTGTTGTTCGAAGATGAGTAAGAGTGGGTTTGGGAGTTATAGCAGGTTCTCTGCTGCGGGTGGAGCCAGTGGGGACAATGGTCAACCCTCTGGGGGAGGTGCAACTCCTCCTGCTAAGCCCCGAAGACCCAAAGCTCAAATCCAGAACATTATACCTTGTTGTGTAAACCAGCTGCTCACCTCCACTCTGGTTGACAATGTATTCAAGATTAGGGGAATTGAGATTTCCCAGGTCTCTATTGTGGGGATAATCAGACAGGCTGAGAGGGCTCCACACTATATTCTTTACAAAATTGATGATATGACCTCAAAGCCGATCGAGGTGCGACAGTGGTTTGACGGAGATAAAGCAAAGCAGGAGATAATTCCGCTTCCAGTCGGAGTATACGCCAAAGTGTTTGGCATCCTCAAATGCACTGGTGAAGCAAAGAGCCTTGAGGTATTGAAAATTCGCATCTTGGAAGACATGAACGAGTTCACCACACATATTCTAGAAACAGTCAATGCGCACATGATACTGTATAAAGCCCGCCAAGCCACCACTGGGGAAAGCACGCCCGTTGCCCCATCAGGAATGGATGCCGCCATCGATTATGGCAAGCACCACCTCAGCTTCATCCGGAAGGAAGTGCTACGTTTGATTCACGAGTGTCCTCGACTTGAAGGAAAGAGCATTCGGGAGCTCCAGACCGAGCTTCCCAGCGTGAGCATCAGAGCCATCAAGGAAGCGATTGATTATCTGACCATCGAAGGCCATGTCTATTCCAGTGTGGATAATGAGCATTTTAAATCTGCTGACTGAGGCAGCTAAAACACTTTTCATTTTCAGAAGACCTTTGCCTCCAGCTGTGAGTAATTTTGACCTGTTGACTTTTAGGAAGTAGGATTTTTCAACAAAAGATCTTAACTGGCACCCTTTTGAAAGTTTCTGTTTTTCTAACTGTATTTGAAGCTTAGAAGGAGATAGCGAAGGATAAATTGATTGAATGTTTTGAGGAATTATCAGAAAGGTAATGAAAATGTTATTGTATGGATGAATTTGGTGGAAAAAAGGTACAGAAGATTAAAGATTATCATTTAATTGTTTGGGAGCTTCTTTTTCTGAAATATCTATATATTAGGAGAAATATATACATACAGTCAGCCAACTAAGAGACAAAAAAAAAGTTTTCACACTTTTTCCGTGAGACTTATTTTCCATATGTTTGGAGTTAACCTATTATAATATTTCTCTTGCTAAATATAATGATTGATTAGTTTCAGTGTGTGCTAAAGATAGTGATTGATTAATTCAAATGTTCAAGTGTTTATTGAGTGACTTTCTCTTATTACTATAGGTTTTGGATTTTGTTTTTTAATATGACTTTATGTCTAAATAATTCATTTTTTAAGGGTCATCTTTTATTATTTTTCCTTAAGATGTGATGAAGCTTAATGATTATTTAAAATTCATTGTGATTATATTTTGATGAAATTACTCTTTATTGTAGTTGCATGGTACATGGATACCAGACTTTTTGAAATTTTGATGTTCTGGTATATTATCTATACTGCTAAATGCTCTGTTTTATGTACAACAGAGTAATATTCTTATAGGGTAGGCAAACAAACAAAAACAATTATTTTAGGAATATTAAGCTTACTAAGGTTAATAGAAATTTGTTTGTTGTATTAAAATACTTTTGCAAAATCTTAACTTTCTTGTATGATTTTTTTCTAAATACATTTGAAAAGTCTTTTGTTGTATGTCCTTGAGAATTAATAGTTTTACTTGTCCAGAAGAAATTTTTCTTTTCTATATATGTTGTAATGATGTATTTTAATGTAGCTTATATTAACTATGTGATATTTTAAAATAACTGACCATGAATAAAAGCTCTTAGTTATACATTCACTAAAGATGTTTTTCAAGGTATAGATTTGTTATTTTCAAAAAACAAAACAAAACAAAAACCCACTGCAGCCCGGTCGATTCTGACTCATAGCAACCCTATAGGACAGTGTAGAACTGCCCCATAGGGTTTCCAAGGAACACCTGGTGGATTCATACTGCAGACCTTTTGGTTGGCAGCCGAACTCTTAACCACTATGCCACCGTAATATATATGAATATGCATATATATATACATACATACACATACATACATACAGTTGACCCTCCATATCTGTGGGTTATCTGCATGTTCTGCATCTGCAGATTCAACTAACTACAGATTGAAAATATCAAAGTTCCAAGAAGCAAAATTTGAATTTGCCACAAGCTGAGCACTACGCTGAATCCACATGAATGAAATGATGTGTAGACATATTCTGCTGTAGCCTCCCGCCATTTCAACAGATCCTCAGTCTCTCTCCAGCACTCATTGTTTGAGCATTCTTCTCCTCATGTCTTGTCATTATTCCTCAACAATACAGTCCAGTATAAAAACTATTTACATAGCATTAGCCCTGGAACCCTGTGGATACCGAGGGATTGTGTGTGTATGTATACATATATATATCTCAGAAGAGAAAAACTTCACTTGTTTTAATTGTATCTCCAAAAGATGGGGTGAAAAACCAGAAAATCCCTTAAATACACCATTGTCAGTATTCCATACTGTCAGGAAAACTATCAGAATATTGCCAGCTTAAGTGCTTGCCACACCATGGGTCAGGTGCCTGTCCCCAATCCAGTCAGTTTTGCCTTTGGGGAAGGACAGTGAGGCAAGATGATGTGGTGCAGAATTTGTCCACATAGTGCTAATCCTTCAGAAGTTGACGGTGGGGAGTGCTCCCCTAAGAAGGGGTTATGAACTTGTCAGGCACCAGCCATTACAGTAACTTCAATAAAATGAAAGAGAAAGTTATTGCATAGAGAACCCCTTGAAGTCCAGGATTATGTTTTATTCACCATATATATTCAGATTTAGCATTATTCCTGGTGGCATTAAAAATTTAGTAAATGAGAAAAAGTAACACACTGCTACCATGAAGTGCCTCAAGTGTGACTGTGTGTACACATGTACATTTTGGGGAGAGGAGAAAAAAGCAACAAAAGTGTTCTTACTTTTGCTTTGATTGTTCTGAGAATTCTTAACATAGTCTGGTAAACGACCTCCAAGCAGTGGTCTCTCCTCGGTCTCTTATCTACCATTTGACTCACTCTCTATAAACCTTTCTTCTTCTTTCTCTCTGATAAGGGGATACTCTCTCCAATCTGCCCCTGCAAAAAAAAAAAAAGAAGAAGAAGAAGTGGTGGTGGTGGTAGGATATGTGCCTGTATCAATCACATTGTTAAATAAGTTCTGAACATCTAGTGTAATATTTCTTCCTCTTGGGGACACACAGTGACCATTAGCATAGTTTAAAAAAAAAACTTTAGAAGTCGTGCAGCAAAGGAACTTGTTTAACTTTGTTAACCCAGAGTTTCCAATTTTTTTTATATAAAAATAAAATCTCTTTTTATTCCTCGGAAATACCTATGACCATTACATAGTATGGACTACATGTTCTATTTGCTCCAGATTTAAACCCAGCGAACAGCCATAAGATTTTCCTGTCTAACCACTCTCTTCTTTAAAAAGTCCTAATCTCCCTCACAGAAAACAACAAACAACCAAACTAACTTAGTAACTAACAGTTAAATACTTTGCTACTAACCAAAAGGTTGGCAGTTAGAACCCCCACCCCCAATCTCCATGTGAGAAAGACCTGGTGATTTGCTCCTGTAAAGATTACAGCCTAGAAAACCCCACGGGGCAGTTCTGCTCTGTCTCATAGGGTCCCTATGAGTCTGAATCAACTCGATGGCACCTAACAGCAACAACAATAAACTTGAACTGAAACAAATAAAAGGAATTAAACAAGAGCTAGGAAAAAAATCAGAAAAGGAGCTAACTAGTATAAGAGTAAACCCCTAAATGAGAGTAATTTATGAAATTGCACAGAAAATAAGAGCTAAATAGTCTATAGAAGGATAAATCGCCTTAAATTCAGTATCTTATATAAAGGTAAAAAAAAATCTCTGAAATTAAACAGGAACCATCGGATAGTATACAAGGAAAAATTGTCCTTAAACTCATTGAAATAACAAAATTAAGGTAAATTTCATCCAGATAAAAAACATTAACTAGTTTAAACCAAGAACCAAACCCATTGCTGTCGAGTTGATTCTGACTCATAGCAACCCTATAGGACAGAGTAGAACTGCCCCAGACGGTTTCCAAGGAGCGCCTGGTGGATTCGAACTGTTGACCTTTTGGTTAGCAGCCTAGCTCTTAACCACTGCACCACCAGGTTTTCCAGCTAGTTTAGGACATATAAAAACAGTAGAACTATGTAGGTATGAAGGAGCCCTGGTGGTACAGTATTTAAGCACTTGGCTGCTAACCCAAATGTCAGTGGTTAGAACCTGCCAGGCGCTATGTGGGAGAAAGATGTGGCAGTCTGCTTCCATAAAGATGACGACCTTGGAAACCCTGTGGGGCAGTTGTACTCTGCCCTGTAGGATCATTGTAAGTAGGAATCAACTAGACTGCAGTTGGTTTTTCTTTAATGTAGGTTTATCATCATTTAAATTTTGTTGGCTTTGTTCCTTTTAGAGAGAAAAAATACTCCATACTACTAATTTCTAAAAGACAGTGTGTTATATGATAGAGTGACACTGGACCACTGGTCATGAGATCTGAGTGCTAGTACTTGATTGCTCACTCTGTTACCTTGGTCCTTCAGTGGACCTTTTGGGGCCTCAGTTTCTTCATATGTAAATAAGATTGGAGCTTTCAAGCTCTAACACATTCCATGGCTTTATGTTTCCATTTGCTTAGTACCAATCCAATTTCCTTTGTTATTGGAACTAGAAGATTAGTGTTCAGAAATGTTTTGAAGAGTGAGAAAAATTATGATCCATAAAGCTTAAAGATTTTGTAGCATTTTGTTATTTTTTTGCATTTATAAATATTGTATTTAACTGACTCCAGACAGATACTTATAATTTCCTTTAAGATGTTGGAGCCCTGGTGTCTCAATGGCTAAGCGCTGGGATGCTATCCCAAAGGTTTGTGGTCTGAACCCACTAGCGGCTCCGAGGGAGAAAGACCTGGCAATCTGCTCCCGTAAAGATTATAGCCTAGGAAACCCTATGGGGCAGTTCTACTCTGTCCTATAGGGTCACTATCAATTGGAATCGACTGGATGGCAGTGGGTTTTTTTTTTGGGGGGGTAGTGTTTAAGATGAAGAAGAAAGCAGTTTCTAAGCCTCTGTTACGTAACTATTTTTAGTACCTGTTGTTCATATGCCCCCTCATGGCTAATTTTCTTCATTACCACATTTTAACTAATTTCTTTTTGTTCAGCCCTGGTTAAAACAGAAGTAAGTTAGGCAATAAATAAATGTGTGTGTTTACCTATACGTGTGTTAGTGTGTGTGTGTATAAAATACAACTTTGTTTAACATACTCAAAGCGCAGTCATTTCAGAATATGATATGGAGTCATGAGTTCCAAATTCATATGGCATTCAATCAGAAGATAAAGGCTCAGAGAAAGTTATTCATTATATTATTTTCTGCTAAAGACAAATAGTTTTTAAAAATCCCTTCAAACGCAAATGTTAACTGGCCACATCCCAAATCACTCCCTTAGTATACGTTTTCTCAATATTTAATTTTTACTGTATATATTCACCTGCACCTGCTTATGCTCTATAATAGTTTTATGCATGCTGTCTGTTTTTCTCATTTAGATTTTAGACTCCTCTGGGGAAGGGACCCTTTTCCCCTCTTATATGTTTCATTATGGCTGGTACTGTGTAATATGATAATATGTGATTTGATGTGGCTATTGACCCACCATAAATAACAACCTATGCTTCCAGTCTCTAGTAGTGAGGATGAATTTACATTAATCTGGCACTATCTTGTGGCCATGCATTTTTAGATGTAATCAGAGAAACAGAATTAAGCTAACTTCTCATCACAAGAATGAAACCTATTAGTTTGATTCAAACCATATTCATAAGCTACAGACAACATAGCATGCTTTATGCAATAGTCTTTTTACAGTTGCATGGTTAATTAATGAAATTGAGTATTTACAACTCTATTTAACACTGTAAAAATCCATGTGTTTTGCCTGTAAAATAAATGCCAATCTGCCATCACAAATTGCATTAGACTTTGAACATACCATGGTCTGTGTGTGATTTAGAATGTGGACTATGTTATTTACAGATTTTTGCTCATATTCCTTTACTAAAATTTACGAAAGGAAGCAATGCCTGCAGAGAAATGACCAATGAGTTTGGACAATTTTAATCCCAGCTAACTCATTATAGGATGTGTAGGTAGTAGGTAATATATTTTATGAAGATCCAAAGAAATATGTAGCAATAAATCATTGTCACTAAGGTTTCTCACATATGACAAAAAACATCAAATACTGGTTTGAAGAATAGTATCTTAGAGTTGTGATTGTGTTGGATTCTTTTCAGAGTTGTTGCTGAAATTGCCTTACGGCTTGAGGGGTATTTTACCCCAGTAGCAAACTTTGTATATGTTTTGCTTGGAATCTAGTTATCTGCCAAACTCATGGTAGAGTGTCTCTATTCACTTTCTGTGATGATAGCTTCCTCAGCCAATGTTTCCAGGCAGGTAAAAAGATATCTTTTAGAGTTTATAAATGTGCAGATATTTGCATTACTTCTGGAATACTTGTTTTTACTTGATATTTTCCTTCCCTTTGGATTCAAACTTACTCTAGCATTTTAACATAATCATTGTAATAAAAATAGCTGACTCTTGACAGCAATACAAATTAGGAATAGAAAGCACTTTCTGAATTGTGAGTGTTAGTAACTATTTAAGCAGCCTATATTGAACTTACTAAAAGCTTGGCAAAACAGCCCCTACTTTCACTACTTAGGGAGTTAATCTAAAGGTAGGTGCAGATCCATAATCTTAGAACATTTTACAGGGGACTA